GTCGAGGATCAACACTGGAGGTTTGCTATTATTTACCTTGTATTTTCTAGCTCCTCTCTCGAAGGCATCCAGGACACGAAAAAACCTGGGCTGTTCAGCTATAAAACAAGAAGTGAGTGTAGAGCAAACACCAGTAATAATTCTTTATAATAACCCTACCGGACTCGCTATTGCCTAGAATCTTCCGCTTAAATGATTCAGTGAAGGACACATACTCCTTGAATGAATATCCAATAGCCTTTGCAAGTTTATCAATGAAGTTATCCAATACAGGGGGTACATCAACATAAATGACCCCTTTTCCAACATCTCTAGCACACTGCCGGACCACTGTGGTCTTACCAGTTCCGTGGTTCCCGACAACGACGTGGTAAGAGCTATGGTCAGAGATCGGCTCTAGAATTCGTCTCAGTTTTTTGATAACAACCTCACGGTAAATCAGCTGTTTCTGCATAACATCAGGTTCTGGACAGGAACCATGTTCAAAGGCATGAAGAATAATCCTCTCATTCCGGCGGTTGTACCAGTTGGCGAAGCTGAGATCGAATAATACTAAGCCAGCGCTGGTAACAATCCCAGTGCCGATCCACTTTATAATCTTCCAAGCGGACTAACATTGCCAGGTTGTAAGTCAGAACACACCGTCTGCAGACCGAAAAAGAACATATTGATCACAAGAACAAAAAGGTACAATACAAAATCCGTTTTTACGCCCTCTTTTATACTCTCTTTTACGTTTCTTACTCCAGTTTTCAGGGCATCCTTGGTATCTGAGTAGGTATAGGTGTGGCGAGCCTGCGGTGCACAACCGTCATGTATAAGCGACGGCCATGTTTGTAGTTTGGCTCTCCTGAGAAGCACGGTCGCCCTGATGTATCTGACGAGCATGGGAAAAAATAAAAGCGTAGTGATAACCGAGGTTTGTGCTACAATATGATTAATATGGGTTTATTTATTCGATGAGCGGTCACACAAGTTATTATTTCCGTTGGGGCGCAGTAATTCTTGCGCAGTAAGCGACTTATCTCTATTCAATATTATCAGGTTTAAAAATAAATTTAGTAGAAAAAGACCTTTGGCAAGAACTTTTACCGAATATCTCTGTGATGATTTATCTCATATGACCGAACTATACTATGATCGCGAACTTGAATTTATTGCTTGAACTGTTGCAGGTAAGACAATATTCTGTTCCATTTCTATACCATTCGCCATGCAATCCATAATTCCCATGTTTTCCATCGCAAATCGGGCATGGCGAATTCCACGGCTGAGCAGATACAAAATTATAGTTATCAATCCCTCTAAAACTATTTCGGAATTTCAAGTATGTGAAATGCTCTAACGCTAACACGGATTTGGTAATTAACTCTGAATCAGATTTGGCTTCGAACATGATAGGCCTTTTTCATCACATTGTTCAGAAAAAGATAAATCGGAGAAGCAAAAATTCTTGAATGCTTTAGGCCCTATGCATTTTTATGCTGAAATGAAAAATCGTATATTAAAGTTAACAGATGCTAATAGATTAAGTAACGAAAAAAATTACATATATAAGATATGCATGTATATTAAACACATAGATATTAAGTTATATATTATGAATTGATTATAGGTCGAAAACTTTAAACGCTTGATTAACGAAATCTTTAATTTTTTGTATTCTTTCCGGAATGACCTTTTCCGGATTTTCATCGTACCACACTTCAAGTAGGAAAATTCCATTAAGCTGACAAAGGCATCTTTTCTTCCGATCACGATCAACAATATCCTCAAATCTTTTGATATCCTTATACCAGCTAGTGCTATGAAGCCGATGTTGACTTCCTTGCACCTCCAATGCGATTTGATATTTTTGAAAGAAGGCGTCAAGTTCCAATCCGTTCAAGAAAGGAGGACGATATTCAATTATTGGTTTTTCGTTAAGAATGTCCACAGCTATTTTGACACATTTAGCTTGGAATTTGCGATTTTTCTTGTCAAAGACAGTTACGAGGTGGCTATATTCCGATTTCTTCTATAATTGGTCTTAATATTGCATTCCTTGCTTCAAGCTCAAGAATTGTCATCTTAATACGCTCAAAGAGGATTGGATACTGCAAACCAGTTTTTAATTTTACTCTATCAGCCTTATTTTTAGCATACTTCTCTATAATTTGTGTTAAAAGTTTGGTATTCTCGGTCTTAAGCTTTGCAGTCTCATCCTTAAGCTTTATATATTCTGCATTTTTAGCCTCAAGATTAGCTTTTTCGACCATAAGTTCTGCATTCTTAGCCTTAAGCTCAGTTAGTGTGACTTCCTTAGCCTTCTCTTCTAATAAATCTAATTCAGATTGCATTTTTAGTAATACAGTAAAAGATGATTTATTTAATTTTCGAACTAGCATAAACAATCATGTTAGTTTAATCTATATCAAATCCTTGAAACACGTGTGCAAAAGCAAATCCGATTATGTATGTGAAATCGGCTACCAGGTCGCCTTTATTGATTTATATACACACACTTATCCGCCCGTCCATTCACAAATTCATGTCCGGATAAATATCATTATTTTTTCCTGCTTGAATTACATGTTTATCTCGACAATGAAATGAAGTGAATTGGCGGGGATTCTTTATCGGTCGATTGGGTCATAGACCCAGGCTTTGCCTATTTAGCATCGGTCATTATCATCCGCCAATTCACTTCATTTTATTCCGTTCATATAGATAATTATATTAATCTGGGCTACCAAAATCGCTAATTCTGATTACATTCACATCGTCTATATATTCCATCGGCTACTTTTTTGCATGTTTTGCAATATAGGTGTGAATGGTGATTGCATTCGTCACAAACTTTACGTGCTTCCACCCTCTATAGATATGCCACTTTTCAAAGTAAATTTGGTTTTCTTTCATCGTTATATATTAACAGAAAAAATAATCTACACGTGGCTATATAAAATTTTTTATTATATAAACCTGTAATGTGTGGCACTTTATGGTCCGGAGTGAATTCTCAAGAATAGATGGCATGAGTTAATTGACCGACTTTGGTTAGGTACTAATTCCAGAAAAATGAAAAATGGCACTTTGAGATTGTGCCCCGTCTCACAAATAAGTTATGCATAACGATAAGCCTTCTAGGTAGTATAGATAAATTTTACATGCGGAATTATTACACTATGAACGTGGACAAATTATGTATAACGATAAGTTTTGCTTAAATTAGGTATCATTATCGCTAATTCCGAAAATTTTCACATTCACATCTGATAGTAGAGTCTGGACACCGTGTCCGGGCTTGTCAAAATTGCGCAGAAAAATGAATAAATTACATGGCGCAGTAGACAGCAAATTAGTCATCGAAATCTTATTGGAAGTAGCAAATTATTTTCCAGCAAAGTAC